TTTTGGTCCTTTGCCCGCCGATCGCCTGCGCCTCTGTCGCGTTTACGGTCTCCGTTCGCGGGACGATATCGTGGCGTCGACGCGCACGCGCGATCGTCGGTTCTCTCCGCTCTCTCGCGGAAGATTCAAAGGGAAAACATGGGAACGCGTGGTCCCGGCGGATCCCGCGAACGGGACAGAAAATTCGAGAGAGAGAAAACGAGAAATTGAACAAAAGGCAAAACGACGCGACGCCAACGACGAACAACGGTGTCCGCTCGAACGTTCATTGACTTAGGCGGTAGGCGTAGAAAAGTAGAAGAGGCAATTCGAGTGATCGCAAATCTCTCTCTCTTTTTCGTTACTCGCAATTCCTTTCGTCTTTTCCCAGAGCGAACGAGGCTCTCGTCCGCTCGTCGCCGAAGAGAAAAAGCGTCGCCTCGAAACCGAAACAGACAGAAATGGCAAGCAAAAGGGGTTCGGTCCTGCGTTTTCACCGATCGAACACGATCGTAAGTACACGTGATTGTCGGTCTCATGCTTGCTCGATCGCGGTATAATCGATCGCAGGTGTAGAATGCGGAGCCTCGTGCAATTGTGGATTTCTCTGGCTCGACCGAAACCGAGTTGAACTCCAGAACTCGACTCGATTAACGCGTTCACTGCCGGTAGAAAATACGAGAATTTGCCCTGTACCCTAAGTCGCTATTGTTTCTAACATCGTTCTGTTGTTTTACCATATTGATGATGTATACTTAAGCGACAGATAACTTTGACAGTTCAATGCCATTTCTCGACGGTCCGTAAACTTGTCATTTGAGGTACGACAGTTTTATTCAACTGCGATATCTCAAGAACTAGTTTGCTCGCCGTTCATATAACTTGTACGTTAGTCTCGGGGTACAGGGCTAACACACGTGGACTAGTTGCACAATTAGTCCTCGGTAGTCAACGCGTTAATAACAGAATTCAATTCGTCCGATGTCTTGTATAGTTGGGTACACCGATCAATTCGAATGAGAAGTATTGGACGTTCAGCGAAATTTGTCGGCTAACCGAGCTCCTTGCCGAAACAAACGAATCGGTAGTTGAGAAAGAAACGTAGCAAGATACTCGCCGATGCGTCTAACGCGCGATTCGCGCAGCGGTTCGAGTAATCCGACGTATCGAGCAACAATCGCCGCGCGTGCCCGAACAATCCAACACGAATTCGAGCGGCGCAGAAATTCGTCTCCGGGTTCTCAATAAAATAGAAACCTCATTAAACTTTATTAAACTTCATACCATACTGGATTTAATGACACAATCGTGTGTGCATGCCATAAATGCATAAAATCCGCAGTCTAATAATAAGGTCCTTATCTTCTCTAATTAATACATCTGTCCATCTCAGCCTCGAATTAATTTCCAACAAATCACATAGCAGCCCAATAAATAGCTTAAAACGTCTAACAGGGTTCTTTCGCTTATCGTTACAGTATAAAAAAAAAAGAGATTTGGAAATGGTCTAGGGCGGGGAAGATAGCGATTCGATGAGAGAAAAAGGGGGTTTTTGTTAACTGAAGTATCAAGGCGGGAAGAGTAACAAAGAGAAAGAGAGAGAAAGAGAGAGAAAGAGAGTGTGTGTAAAAGATAGAGACACGATAGAGAATTCAATAAAATTTCATGGATTCAAGTTAGACCCGTAAGTAAATCGAAGTTAGGTACCACTGTCATGGGAGGTTTCGCATACTGTGCTTCGATATTTATAAATTAATACCGTCCCAACGGTTTCGCGCGCGGGACCCGCGATTTCTTTACAGTACGACGTTAAAATATATACATAAGTATGTATGTACGCGTACACGCAACTCCGTATGTATACATACATACCCGTATACGTGTGTGTATGTGTGTGTTTGTGTCTGTACGTATGCGTGCAGGGTGTCCTGTTATTTGTGATACAACGGTACTGTATAACTCTTGCGTCCTAAGTCAACACTGAAATCTAAAAATACACATAGGCAAGGAAAATCGGCAGCATGCTAACACCTTGGCTTTCCCAGCGGTAGCCGAACCGCTGCGTATAACATTCTGTTCTGTCTGCTGTCTATGTAACATCGATTGAGTCAGAAGCCGATGCGGTTAAGTCGATTTCTTGATATTTTCTGATTCTCGTGAATTCTAATGGAATAAATAATATTCCTCTTAGTTATTAACCCTTAACGTAGCAATGCCATATAAGCGTATGGCACGTTTACTTACTGGGTCCAACGTCAATCTCAAATACAATGTCGTCGTTGTAATATTTACAGTTAACACGTTAAGTATCCTGCCAGATCACTTCTGTGAATTTCTTTGAAATAAACTTGAAATACTTCCAGTCCGTTAAGGGTTAAAGAATTTACTCGTTTCTGCGTGTTTTCTCAGAAAGCTTCTCTTCTTCTTATAGTTTCTGAATATGTTGCATAATCATTTTAGACGCGGAAACATTCATTTCCAGAATTCTTCTTCTCTGGACTTAACCGCTTCTCCTGAGCGACTCAACCGTTGTTCTATAGCTATTGGCGCGAGCATGCCGAGTGAAAGAGTCCCCTTGCCCTGTGACTTCTCAGCTTTCAGGACCGACTCGGAACCCGAGAGCTGCACGGTAACGAGAAACGGTTCCTCGTCCGCGGATAGTGATCGGTCCTTCGCGATCGTCGCTGAATATCACTTGCGACGATCACGCGAGCATCTACGAGGTAATCCCGTAAGTGGCGTCTGGACTGCAGATTCGATGCATTTACAATGGACAAGAATCGAGCGAAACGCGGTCGTGTCGCTTCGGTGAAACGCAACACGCGCGCTTCGTTCAGAAATCCTCGGGATCTCTCTCGCTTCGGCGTGTAAAAACCGCGGACATGCATGAGGATCTGCTGCCTGGCAAACTCGCGTCTTTCTCTTCGATCGAACGATGGAAAACGTCGCGGTGGTATCTCCTCGATAGACACGGGGTGAAATGAATTACAAAATAATCGACAGATGGAACGCGACAGCGTCGTCGTCGGTGGACCGCGGATCTTTGCGCGATCGCAGGAAATTTGAAAATGCAACATTCCACGGAATGCGATGCAGTGTTCTCTTTCTCAACAGCGTTTAACCCTTTGAACCCGCTACCTCATATTCTTGGCGTCATTTAGTTTGGAGAAACCGAGGAATTACAAGTTAATTACGCCTTGTATAGATTAACGTGGCTCACTGGTCTTCAAACGGCAAGCTAAGCAATAGAATGCTCCGTTTACATGGAACGTTTCAGCTGGGAGTACTCGACAATCAAAGGGTTAAATGGCTCTTGTAACATCTGAAGCGTACTATTCTTTATAGCATTTCAAAGTCTTTGTAATATCCGAAGTGTGCTATTCTTCACAGTATTCGAAAGTCTTTTGTAATATCTAAAGTGTACCGTTTCTCAGTGTCTTCGAGGGAAACTTGTTCCCATCGCAGTTACAGTTTTCCAATGGTACGTTTGAACCCTCGAATTCGCGCGGAGATCCGCGGTCGTCGCTATTTCCTCCTAGCTCGCACCAATCACAGGACAGCCCGTACAGAATACAAGTGAAGTGAACTCGGCAGGTCGATCGTACGGGGCAAACATTATCGTCGTGACGGAGAAAGAAGTCCGATACGGTTGGCGGGCGAGGCGCGGCGAGCTTTGATATTCATTCGCGTCGGCGGAGGCTCGAGCCGGGAAAAATTCCAAAACCACAAAAAAAAAAGTAAGAAAGAATGTTCCATCGAGACCCGGTGCCGGTTACAGTCTCACCGGATCGATCGATCTTGGAAGTTCGCTGTACCTAGCCCGCCAAGTATGTACAATTCAAATACTTGAGAACCGAGCTTGGACGACGCGACGAAGCCTTCTTTTTCGTCAGCGTCCGCGTCGCCTCGTTCAAGTCGCCGCTTACAACACTATTTACTATTCAACAATTCAAAATACTTATAATGATACACACAACCTTGAATAATCTCAACAGCTGCTGGCCTTAGCCCGAAACTAGCTTACAATATCGTAGATCGTGGATACAAAAGTAGTTTTATTTTATTTTTTATTTTTCTCCGGTATTGCTAAAACGACGCTTTCCCTTATTCTTCCCTTCGCACGCGTTCCAATGAACGAAATTCTCACACGATCATCTTTTCTCGTAGGTTATCCCTCTCTTTTGTCGCTTCTCGCTTGCTCGTCGCGCGACTCTATTGTACCTGTTCCTTTATCGTTCTCTTTCTTTTATTGTTCGTTTCCTCTTTTTTTTGCGTTTTCTTTTCTTTCTCGCTCGCATCGCTCGGCTTTCGCATGGTTGTATACAAAATATTGTAATCAGGGCACTCTCACAAGTTCATCGTCAGTCGCGTGCGCGCGCGCGCGTTCTCCTCGTTCCCTTCTTCATCTTTCCGTTCTCCTTTTTGTTTTTCTTTATTTCTTCACCGTTCGAGGGGGAAAGATGGGGAGAAACGGGAAGAGGAGAACGCGTCGGCGTCGCCGCTTCGCTTAATTCTCACGAGTTTCGCCTCACGATATATAACCGTTCCGCCTCGCGTCTCGTTTACCACGTTATTTAATATTACACTCGATATAAAAATAATACTCAGTCGATTAGTACAGATTTAATACTCGGCGTAGAACCGGGGAAGGGGTCTTAGCGCTTCCGGTCGCGTGGCTTCCACGATTTACAATCGCCCGTCATCGGCTTTCGGAATCGTTCTCCCGTGCTTTCCTTCGCTTTCACTTTTCCTTCGTCCTCGCCTTCTCTTACTTATGTATTATTTAAGTTACATACAACGTTTGTGACTTAGGAGCCCCGCCAGAAGAGTCTGGCGCGAAATCAGAACGTCCACGGTCGAGTAGACGGACGGAACAGAGCTGGGGCCGGCGTTGAAGTCACCGGCGGGCCGCCATATTGTCGGCGAGCCCGATCGTCGCTCTATCAACAACGAAACCGCGGGGTTTCTTACGAACGAAAATCATTCTACGGATTTTTACTGAAAATTCTATCTCGCCGGTTACCATTCTTCGAACATTCTCGAGTTGTAAAGGGGACAAATGTATTTTCAAGGGAGAAACCCGCGGTTTAGTCGTCGCATCGCTCGAGAAAAGTACTCATACGCACGCTGGAATACGATAGTTAAGACTAGGTTCACAGATATTCATTGTACAATTTGTTCCGCTGTTCGTAGAACAATTGACGTTCGTTCATTTGGATCTTGGAAATTAACGCGCTAACTGTACCGAGAACCGGTCAACCGACCGTATTTCAAATTCTGCGTTTCCTTTCGTTCGTGTAACTTTATATCAATTCCTATACTGCCCGATTAATCCGTGTTTCAATTTTTCCCGTTAAGGAAAAGTTCTCATCGAACTCGGTTACCTCTATTTCGCAGCCATTTATTCGACCGATTACGGTAGGAATTGGTATATACAAAGTACTGGTACGGTTAGCGTTAAAAGTTTGAAGGTAAACGATTAGGTTATACATTCCTGTAATTGCGTCCGTCAACATCGACGCGAACATCGAGCAAATAATCTCTCGAAAATTCGATACGCCATAAACGAACGCGTTCCGTAAACCCAGTGTTAACGGCATCGGTCTGCGCCTTTTGCAGAGAGCTAGATTCTAATGAGATGCGGACCGATAAGAGTTTATTTTTAGCTGCTCGCTACGCGGGAAATGGTATTCTCGGTTATGAAAACAAGTCCGCGCGACGTAAGTACATATGAATACTCGTTTCTCTCGCTGCGTATGCAGATCGATTCCCGAGATCCAGCGGGTCACTCGACTCCGCCGGGAGAAAGAAAGAGAAAGAGAGAAATAGAGATAGAGTGAGAGAGATAGAGAGAGAAACGATGAATAAACGTATCATCGATGATGACGCACGATGAATATGCATGCGTCGGCGAATAGATTAACGCCGTTCTCAATGAAACGACGCCAGAACGGGAAACACACGCCGGTGATCTCAACGCGGCGACCAGGTGACTCTATCTCAACGAGCAGGGTGTCGACCCTGCTTTCGTCGTTTCGCGAAAACCCCTTCTCTCTGTCGTGCACAATTATGCATCGTTTACTTTGTCCACGCTCTCGTCCCGAGGCTTTCGTATACATTTGTTCATTACGGACGCTGCTCGAGCAGTCTCTGTTGCGAGATGCTTCGCGGGCCCGTTCCGTTACCAAGAAAACGGTGATCCATCAAAGGCGACGAGGCATCTCGCGTCGATTCGAACTGCCCCCGATCCTCCGATTCATTCTGCCACACGCCTCATTACGAGTTTCCCGCTTAATCGACGGTGTTGCAAAAATTCGATTAAGGACCGTCAAGGAATCAAGCTCGGCGACCGATCTAACCTTCAACCCTACCGAATACGAATTCCAACTAAAATGAACACAGAGATTCGAGATTCTTCACCCAGCGAAAACTCGTTTTTCGGTTTTCCATCGATCAACGTTTTAAACCCTGACGCAGCGCGAGGATCTACGGTCCAGCGCTGACTAATCTTGAAGAAAGGAAAAAGCAGTGCAACATTTCGCAAAGAAGACACGCGAGGCTCGACCGGAACCGACGAGGTATTCCGTTCGGATCGATTCCAAGAGAATATGGAGATTCGAATCACCGCGAAGAAGACGGGAGAACCCGTTTCCGGCCGGAGGATCCGCGAGATGAAAATGGGGGTGGGACGCGATTCGAAAGATCGAAGTCGCTCGGAGCCCTGCCGATCGTTTCGAACAATCTGGTGGATAAGGGTCACGCGTTCACGGCGAACACACACCTCTTATCGAAATATCATTACTCGAACATTATTCAACGAAATCTCCAGGCGAAGGCACCTAAAGCATCGACCGTTCGCGGCTCGCGCCGCGAATATACACGTGTGTAACGAGTGTGTCCCGGAAGAGAAAGGAGGGAATGACCATACGCGCGCGCGATGCCTGATCTAACGAACTAAATGAACTCGTTTACGAAAGAAAAGAGATACAGGAGGGAAGAAATCCAGAGAATGAGAGACAGAGAGAA